CTGACGTGACATGTTCGTACGAACCCTTTGTACGAACAAAAGTAAGAGAAATTTAGGAGAAGAATACGAACATGTTCTTGCATGAGGCCCATTGATAATACATAATTTATTTTGGGCAGTACCATAATTTTAATTGAAGCAATTCTTCCCATAAGTCATATGGGTAGAGATTTCCAGCTAGTTGTAGATCAACGTCAATTTTCTTTAAAAGCGGGATATGGTTTAAAACTATAAACTATAGTAAACTATAAACTATAAAACTAAATATATGTGTGTGTGTGTGTGTGTATAAGTCCAAACATTAAGTGACACCTCTAAAGAATTTTCATCTGACAAAGAATCAAATGCAAAAGGAGGAAGGTTGGTGTGAATTTGATCTCTAATTGAAAGAATTTTATCATTAAAGAATCTCATGAAGTCATCACTACTTAGAGTTATAGGTATATGGATCAACAAAGATAGGGTTTTTATTAGTCTAGCTACAGTACTGAACAGAAACCTGCAATTGTTTTTATCTTCTATTAAATATGAATAATATACATTTCTASCTTTATTAACGGCTTTTTTATGTTAGCAGGCTATCTCTAAGTAAAATACAAATAATTCCATGTTAGTGCAGCGCCATTTTATTTACAGTTTTTTACATGCCTGTTTTAAAGAACGTAACTCTGAATTAAACCAAGCAGTTGGGTTTCCTCTGGTTGATTGCTTTCTTTTTTAGAGGAGCAATTATTGTCAAGTGATGTTTGCATTAAAGTTGTAATATTATTAGCAAGATCATCTAAGTTACTGCTCTATGTTGCATTACTCTGTAGGACAGGAAAATACAAACGGCAGAGATTCTTCAAATTTGGTTAAAGCATCCCTGATAAACATTTACTATAATGCAATTTACTCTCAGTGGCTGTGTAGTCAGTTAATGTAAACTCAAAAGTTATTAAAAAATGGTCAGAGAGAACAGGATTGTGTGGATGCAACATCAYTTTCTTACTCTCTATGTCATATGTCAGAACCAGATCAAGAGTGAGATGGAGTTACTGTGATCATGCTGACACTGCATGATCAGTGCATGAGTGAGACTGGCAACAGGGTTGCCAAATAAAAACAAGAATTAGATTTAATGCTCCAAATTTCTGTGCCCATATTCACCAAACACACTTAGCATGTACTGAGGGTGGGAACAGAAGGATGAAATTGTTTCTGCACTCTGTCACACTTTGCCAAGTTGGGGCACCAATCAGATTTAACTGATAATATTTATTCAKCCTTTTTAAACAGACTCATATACACTGAAGTTGAATATGTATGATACAACAGGGAAAAACAGGATCTGTCTGCCTCTCAATGAGAGCTTTGTCTGAAACAAAGAAAGAAAAAGAAGTTAGACATTTGTTATTACACTTGACTGATTAGAAAGACATCTGCATTAATTGTTCAGTTCATTCTGACCTTATTCATTTATGACAACACTGAAATAAAGAAAAAATCATTTTCTAAATGTTTTTTTCTTAAATTTGAAGAATATTAAGTCTGTATATTRATGATTAAGTGTTAAAYAACAATBAATRTTATTGAAACAGAATACAGTATGTCAAGAGTAATCTTTAAAATAACTTAAAGAAAATAGTTCAGTTCCGGAACATAACCTCGGTTCAGAGGTCATCGCAGAACAGGGGTCACTTCATGCTACACACAACACAAATTCCTCATGCTACAACACTCTCACTCAGCATATACTGTATCACAGAGTGAGTCAGATAGTATATCAGCTGTTTTAACACAAAAATACAATCATTTAAAGGGACAGTACAACAGTTTACTATGTCTACCCTGCTTGGCACATTACTGTGGCGGTTCTATGTAAACGGTTGAATTTTTTYTTTATTTGCCTCAATAAACATTGAAAAAACACCAGCATTTCCAGAGACCAGTCTTGTGTAAACAGTGCCTTACACTCATCTCAAACCATGTCTTCTCCATCTATGATTTAAAACATCATTTAAGTATGACCTTTCTCTGTATGTTGGTGATGTGGAAATCCTTGCCACCCAGTAYTGCAATTTGGGTTTTTCATAATTTCGGATGGATAAACATACAGTATGTATATAACTTTTCTGTGTAATTTTACATTTTAGCATTGCTGCTCAGACCAGAAAGATTTCGTAACCTTAGTTTTGTTGTTGTTGTTGTTGTTGTTGTTGTTGTTGTTGTTGTTGTTGTTGTTGTTGTTGTTGTTTGTTTGTTTGTTTGTTTGTTTGTGAATCTGTCTGGTGTCAGCGCTAACTTCTCAGTCATGTCAAACTGAAACTAACCACCTTTAATTTCTCTTGTGTTTGTTTGTGTCTCCACAGTGCTGAAGCTCCTGAAGATGGCTGTTGGAATGAGAGCTTTGCTGGACACAGTTATGCAAGCCCTACCTCAGGTCTGCACCCTGCACTGCAAAATATCCCCTACTAAAAATGAAATAATTTCTTATCTATATTTTCCCCGTGAATTTCATTTCCTAATGTCTCCTACAGAAACTGTCCGAATAATTACATCCCAAAAGCATTTCAATTTGGTGCATACTTTTATAATTAACTGTGTCAAATTTTCCCAGAAGAACGCCCACCTCCAAAAAAATAAAATAAAATAAAATAAAATAAAAACCTCTGTGCACCCTTATTTATATTATCATTTCCCTGCAGAGATTGGGGAGTGAGTGCAGCTTGAAGTTTTTTTCTGAGAAGGGGTGGGTGTATTTGTTGTGTGAGAGACTTGCTAAATTAGAATAACTTCTGCAGTGTTTGCAGTGAGAAAAAATAGAGTTGGTGCTCTACTCCCAGTATTCTTTGAAAACACCTCAGTCACTCTCATTCAGACTGATAATGTCTGAAATTTGTTCTAGGCCAGATTTCTCAGAAACTTGTCAGAAGTGTTGGAAATTAATAAACTCGATAACAAAAGGTGATGTGAGTGTGAGCAGGTTGCTCTATGCTAACCTACACTGACAGCAAATCCAAAGCTATTCATTACCTAGAACCACCTCTMGTAATAAAGTTTTAATCACTATTATGTGTGTCAGTTTTGCATGTAGCCAGCAGCTTATCTTCCTTTCTGTGAAACTTTAGYTTAAAATGAACATGGTGTCACGATTTCTCTTTGGTTTGAAACTGGATTAAAGTACAGTYGCTTTGGAAAATATTCAGACCTCTTTACATTGCAGAATTTTGCATTGCTTATATTAGTGTAAAAACCAAATTATGGGCTCAAAGGWATTGCCTGCAGAGCTCAGAGACAGGATTGTTGCAAGGCAGAGATCTGAGGAAAGCTACAAAAACATTCAGCTGCACTGAAGATTCCCAAAAGCTAAAGGCCTCTCTGCATGGTCCATCTGAACTGCCAAAATCGGCTCACATAGTTGCAGTTTCATGACAAAAAAAATGTGCCATTCAATTCACAGCMTTGTTTTCTACGGAGCCCGTGAGGGGTCAGTGTGAGAGAAAAAAACAGCTGCTGGAAATCCGTGTGCACAGATTACTAAACTGAGCGCATTGATTACTAAACCGTGAGCACGGATTACTAAACTGAGCGAGGGGTCAGTGTGAGAGAAAAAAACAGCTGCTGGAAATCCGTGTGCACAGATTACTAAACTGAGCGCATTGATTACTAAACCGTGAGCACGGATTACTAAACTGTGCTCACGGTTTCTGCAATCCGTGCGCACGGATTACTAAACTGTGCTGACAGTTTCTGCAATTCGTGCGCATGAATTACTAAACTGTGCTGACAGTTTCTGCAATTCGTGCGCATGAATTACTAAACTGTGCTGACAGTTTCTGCAATTCGTGCGCACGGATTACTGACATCTGGAGGGTTGTGTGAACTGTTGTTCATCAGCTCAGAAAGTGCTTAAAGAGCGTTTTTGTTCACTAAAGTCAAAGTTCTGCACAGAAAACGTTGGAATTTGAGTATGTTGTACAGTTTTTGCTCCTCTATCAGGCAGTTTTGGTACCGGGTCTCCTAAAGGCTGTTTCAGCTCCGATCGGCTCATCACAGGAAGCCGCTCGGAGCCTTTCTGCCCGTGGTGACCGTGTGTTTACGGTTTCCCTGACAATGGGGAAGTTTTGCTAAAGTTATCCAGCTGCCTTCTCAGGGTTATATCACAAAAGTACTGAATAGATTTATGTTGAACTTTTAGGAAATGTTTATTACTCTGTCAAAAACGTTTAGTACGCCACAGTAACATTTGAATAAAGTTTGAAACATTTCAGAATAAGAGCGGGGCTGCGACAGCAAGCTGCTCTGAGGTCTTCTCCAGCGGTTCTCAGATGTTTATTCTCTTTCACAACAGGCGGGGCGGGGTGGGGG